ACATCAGCTGTACTGAAACTACCAAGAGCACACTTAATATAACATCAGCTGTACTGAAACTACCAAGAGCACACTTAATATAACATCAGCTGTACTGAAACTCTCACGACCACACTCAATAAAACGACAGCTCTATTAAAACTCTCACGACCACACACAATGAAACACTCAGCTATACTAAAACTCTCACGGCCACAGTCAATAAAACATCAGCTATCTGAAACTCTCACGACCACACTCAATAAAACATCATCTGTACTGAAACGCTCACGACCACACTCAGTAAAATATCAGCTATACTGAAACTCTCACGACCAAACTCAATACAACAGCTGTACAGAAACTCTCACGACCACACTTAATAAAACATCAACTGTACTGAAACTCTCACGACTACACTCAGTAAAACATCATCTGTACTGAAACGCTCACGAACACACTCAGTAAAATATCAGCTATACTGAAACTCTCACGACCAAACTCAATACAACAGCTGTACAGAAACTCTCACGACCACACTTAATAAAACATCAACTGTACTGAAACTCACACGACTACACTCATTAAAACATAAGCTGCACTAAAACTGCCACGACCACACTCGTATATATGACCAAAACTTCCACACTAGATAAGACATCTGGTGTACTGAAACTATCTGTGTACACATATATGACCAAAATGACCACACTCAATAAAACATCTGGTATACTGAAACTATCTGTGTACATATATATGACCAAAACGACCACACTCAATAAAACATCTGGTATACTGAAACTATCTGTGTACATATATATCACCAAAACGACCACACTCAATAAAACATCTGGTGTACTGAAACTATCTGTCTACATATATATGACCAAAACGACCACACTCAATAAAACATCTGGTATACTGAAATTATCTGTGTACATATATATGACCAAAACGAACACACGCAATAAAACATCTGGTGTAATGAGGCTCTGTGATTGGAATATTAAATGTATTTTCAGCCATAACAGTAAGGCGAATCAAGCCAGCACTTGGCTATATACTAAATCGGATGTTTGATAAGAGATAACGGGTGTTTGATAAGAGAAAACAGGTCTGGTAGAACTTGGATATTTGTTAAAAGAAAGCAAATGTGATAGAACTCGAATGTTTCGTAAGAGATAATAAATGTTTGGAAGAGATGTTTGGAAACAGATAACGGGTGCTTAGTAAGGGATAACAAGTTTGATAAGACTCGGATGTTTCGTAAGAGAAGTTTTGATAGAACATGAAAAGGATTAATAAAACTCGGATGTTTAATAAAATATAATAAATGTCTCTAACAGATGTTTGGAAAGAAATAACGGGTGCTTGGTAAGACATAATAAGTTCGATAGAACTCGAATTTTCGGTAAGAGATAACAAGTGTGATAGAACTTCGACGTTTTGTAGGAGACATAACTCAGATATTTAGTAAGAGAAAACAATTTTGATAGAACACGAAAAATATTTAATAAAACTCTGTTTGGTAAGAGATAACAGTTTTAATAGAACACAAATGTTTGGTTAGAGATAACAAGTTTGATAGAACTCGAATTTTCAGTAAGAGATAACAAGTGTGATAGAACTTCGACGTTTTGTAGGAGACATAACTCAGATATTTAGTAAGAGAAAACAATTTTGATAGAACACGAAAAATATTTAATAAAACTCTGTTTGGTAAGAGATAACAGTTTTAATAGAACACAAATGTTTGGTTAGAGATAACAAGTTTGATAGAACTCGAATTTTCAGTAAGAGATAACAAGTGTGATAGAACTTCG